TTTCTCGTATCACCTCTTTTCTTAATACTAAAACATCTCCCTTGAACTAGTTTAATTAATAAGAAGCCATTTTCTTTTCATTTAATTTTTCTTTGGACTTTAACTATTTTTACCATTATATTTTGCTTGTAGTACTGCGTTATAAATCAGAATCAGCATTTGCATTTATAGCCTGTGTTGACAGCGCTGCAAGGTTGCTTTGACATTCTCCTATACATTCATTTAAAATACCCATCACTGCAGTATATTCCACAGAACAATTGTATTTGTTTGCACCACTATCCCATGCACTGCTCAATGTGCACTGAAATATTTTTATCCATTTGATAGCAATATTTCATATTGCCTTTTTCTTTAAACAACTGTTTTTAGTCAAGACTCATATTAATGCTTGAAGAATACATTTTAAGCCATTTCGGCATACAGTATTTTATGTCAAAATAGCACAGTGATAAATAAGGCTTCAGTAATGAAGGGCTTCCAAATGAGTTGGATGCTAAAACTTAAAAAGAAAGGAATTCATACTACACGAATCTTCTTTTTTAGATGATAAAAAGAGAAAGAAAACACAATAGAATATTGTACTCTATGTTCCATTTCCACCTTCTTCCGTTGAGAACGTTTTTTTTTTTTTGCATTCTCCATACAAAGTCTGGTATCATCAAACAACAATAGCAAAACAGGATTCTTGCATAAAATCACATTTACTTTATGGATTGATATTTTCTGGACAAATATCTAGTTCCATAAGCTAACATATTGTTCCATCTTTTAATATTTATTATAACAATGGTCTAGTTTCATTGTAATAAAATTATGGAATCCTACCTGAAATTTAGTTCATTTGAATTCTTATCTCATAATTTAAAAATCAGAATAATGGTATATTATATAGACATTGAGTTCCACTGAGTTGTGAAGATTTGGCTCTTTTCCAATGCTTTAAGCCAGAATGACATTTGAGCCCGATGTATTAGAAAGACAGTTGTGGTTATTCCTAGCTTTGGCTGTGTATAGATGCTGTTGGGGTTATTATGTTGGATTAATATTTATGCTGAATACAATAATAATTTAGAATAGATAATTTGGAATAATAATAAATTATTATTCCAAATATTATTTCCCAGAATAATAATGTATGAATCATGCAGTCTTATAAAGCTAATAATTAAATTAATAAACAAGCTTATACTGTGAGCTCTGTAATGTAGTCTTATGAATATATGATTCCTTTATTTCCTGAGGGTTTTCTGCCTACGTCTTTGAGCAAAGTACTGTACCAAAATAATGTAAAGGACTAGCACTTATACTTGACAAGATGAGAGGGCTAAAATTTTACAGCAATTCTAGTCAAGCAAGAGAGCATTATAATTATAGAAACTAAAAAAAAACCACTGTAGTGATTTTTCCACAAGGGAAATTGTTCATCCATCAGTAAGATTGTTACAAGATAAGAGACAATGAGAGAGTTAAAATTGCTTTAGCCTATTGAATCATCAGTTCCCTCTAGATTCAAAAGCCTGAATTGGTTTTGGAAAGATAGCATAAGAAGTTCCTAGTAAAAAACTTAATAGGTTGATCATAGTTTGAGTCACACTAGCAAGTATAAGTAATGTATGATATTTTCTGAGGAAAGGGGTAGCTTATATATTAAAAAAGAAAGGAATGGGCCCACTATTGATACAAAGATTTTTCCCATTATTTTCCTGTCATACATGCCTTTGAAAAAGTGTTATTTGCAAAGGAAGATGGATACAACAAATATAATATCCAAATACACCTGCAAGTAATTTCATGTAAATATAAGCTTGTATTTACAAATGAATGTACAGAAAGATAAGAGAGAAAAATTAAGAGAGCTATAGCAACAGGAAGGGTGTGTATTACTGAAGGATGGAAAAAGTGTTGAAAATGTTTTCCATAACCAAGAACTCCCTTCAATGCTAACATATATAATTTAAGAGATCTCTGATTGGAAGCATTGATTGGCTATGTGTTCTGTTTAAATAATTAGAAGTGGGGCATGAAATGGGGAGGGAGGTGCTGATAGGACAACCTGCTTAAAAGGAGTCAAAATTGTTGCTTATCTTTATACTGACAGTGTCTATTTACTAAAATCACAAGATATAATTGTAGCTGATGGACAAGTGATATTATCTTTACACAAGCATTATCTGTATTTTACTTGGGTGACAAATAATTGTCTGGGTTCTTAAATAAGATCTCCAGAGTTGCGATATGACAATAGTTCTTTGTCTTAAAAAAAACTGTCTGCAATTGTGCTTTTTATAAAAGATATCTGTGGAGGAATTATCCTTGTTTGAAGTGGCCTGCCTAAGTGTTAAAAGGATGTAGCGGAAAAGCAGACCTTTGCTGGGCTTGGTCGGGAGTACCTGCATTATTGAAGGGTCTTTGTAGTGATGCCTCTAGAGAGGGTTTGCCTCTATAATTATATGCAAGTATCACACCAGTGGTGTGATCCAGGTAGGGACTCAAGATCTATTTTTATGTATCACATCTATTCCAGAGACTCTGAGCTCCCCCCACCTCTGCTAGCTCTCCTTCAGGGTAGGCCAGGGTGATCATGTCCTTTATTGTTGTAACTCCCAGATTGTGATACTCTCACAAAACTGTTGCTAGGCAACAAATGTGGTTACCAGGTCTCAGCGAATAGCTGAAGGGAAAGCAAAGTGTTGCACCATTGTAGAGTAACCATAGCAATGACCTACTATTACAGAGTGGAGAATTATCATTAACAATGTTAAAGTATCATACAGAAGCCTGGGATCCTGAGTCTTCCCAGCAGCATCTCTGCATAATTGCGTTATCCAGGAAGGACTCTCAACTCTTGCAGGGCACCTACTGACTGGAGTGTTTTGCAGGAGGGATTATGATTAGATGCTGATCTACCAAATCTCACTATTTCACTCTGAAGCCATTTCAAAGTAGACTTCTTGCCCCACTATGTTAGTTTTATTGAGGAGGGCAACAGTGCACTAGTTTTATACTCATTAAGGGCAAGCAAAGAGGCACATTAGAAAGCCCCTTCCATTCAAGACATATACAAATAACATAAAGACATATACAAATAACAATAACGTCGTTGGGAAGGATTGGGATGGTTTGTAGAGTAACAAGCAGACAGCCAGTATATGTAGCACTAAAGGGGAAATTTCTGTTCATGACCTGTGGTGCTGATATTTTTTGGTCTCCATTCTCTGCATTGGCACAACCTAGGAGTGAGAGGACACAGCTTTGGAAGCCGACTTGAGATGAAGTCATGAATTTGGGGAAGAGGGTTACATGATTTTGAACATCCTCTCTGCTCACAATTCACCCAATTCCCTAGGGAAGTCTATGACGTCTGCCTTCCCCGCCGCCGCGAAGAAGGCTCGCCAAGAGCGCGTGTCTTCTGCACGTGTGTACGCGGGCGGGTGTGCGCTCTGGGGCTTGGTGGTGCTGGTGGCGGCCGCGTGTAACTCCCGCTTCCCAGCTTGACCCTTTCCAGCTTGTTGCCGAGGGCCGGGAATGCTTTCCCAGCCCCACCGGTCTCCCAGGTTTCCCCGCAGGTAGTGACGCGGTGGTCTTTTCTGTGTTGCAGGGACGGAGCGGCACGAGCTGACCTCCTGGAATAGCTTCCCGTCGATCTTTCGGTTCTTCCACGAGGCAATGGAGGCGAAAACCAGCTCGGGCAAAGCGGCTCCCACGCGACGGTCGCAACGGATCCGCTACGAGGAGCTGTAAAGGCGGGCTGGCGGGCGGAAGCGGCTCCCGCTTGTCTGTGTGCAGGCGGCGCGCTGCGTTCCCAGCCCCTCATTAGATTGTTTTCTTCCTAGAGCACAGGGTCGCCGCCTATACATCTAAGTAGTGTTTTGCATTATTTCTAGATGAGTGCAACTGTCAAAGCAATATGGGTTCACTGCTTATGCTTCCTGTGGGCTGCGGCTTGGATTTCGGGCTGCCCATCAGTGCGCAGATTAAGGCTGACAGCAGCGCTGCACGGCGCAATCTGGCGCAGCTCTAATTGCCCCGGACGCAGCCCTGCCCTGAGTTGATGGCGGGCTACTGCCGCTGCCTCTGCGGCTCTTCCCTGGTCCTAACGCCCGCCTTTTCCCGGGCCCGCTTGCTGCCTTCCCGCCTGCCCCACCATCTCTTTTTTTCCCCCGTCCAGCCGCCGATCATCGTTTTAGATACACATTTTAAACAAAGAATTTATTTCCGTTTCAGAATGTAGGCCTATAGGTGCTAGAGACGTTTTAAAGTAATTTCCCGCAACGTTATTTGGAGGTTTTTGTTTTGAAAGGTCCCGCGTTTTATTTTATTATTATTTTTAAATCCACATGAAGGGATAAACTGCAGTGCCCCCGTGCTAGTGATCTCCAGTGATGCTTTGCTCTGTGATTGGAGTATAAATGCTTAGAGTCTCACGTAGCCACGATATATATTTTTTTTCTTTTATGATTAACTCGTTTTCTTTTAATGCTGAAGAAAGCCTCTGGGTTGAACGGAAAATGCATTTAATCGATACCTATTTTTTTATATTGAGGAGATTCCGAGTAAGACTGCTGTAAATCTCAAATGCGGGACCGAACTCAAACGCACTCAGTTTTAGTGCTTGAGGAATGCACTTTCCAAATGTTTTATTGTTTTGGAATACTTTAGGGTTTTTCAGGGAAAATTGCTGAATCCTTTTAAAAAGTAGAAATAGCAGCAGTAGTATTTTAAAGTGTTTCTTCTGATGCTTGGTTGGCATCTTTATTTTTTATTCAAATAGATTATCTATTTTATGACAGAGCAAATAGCTAATAACTTTTTTAAAATGCTGGATGGTACCAGAATTCCACAAATTCTAGCCTTTTCCGCATGCAAGGCAAAGGGAGAAGCAGCAACCTTTTCAGTTTGGCAAAACAGGGTCAGCATTAGAAAGGAGCAGTCCTCTCTTATTGCTGGAGGATGTCACCCATTGGTACCCCTTCACATGGTTGAACTCCTCAGGCAGAGATTCATTTTTCTTTAGTCATCTGGCCATCACTGTGAAATATTGATGGACAAAAAAAGTGCTGGTCCTCATTTTATGACTATTTGTTCAATGACCGTTTGAACTTACAACAGCACCAAGCAACCACTCCTCATATTTATGGCTGGAGTAGCTCCCCCATACTCACATAATCACCTTTGTGACTTCCCCTGCCAACCTCCCACAAGCAAAGTCATTGGGAAAACTGGCAGGAAGTCAGAAGTTGCAGTCACACGAGATCCTCACTTAACGACCTGCAGGGTCTTCACTTAATAACTGTGCTATGTCACTTAATAACTGTGCTATGTCACTTAATAACTGTGCTATGTGTACATAGCACATGTGATTGTGCCCTCCCTACATAGCACAGTCACATGACATTGTGTTTTATGGCTGCATTGCTTTAGTGATGGCAGCTCCAGTGCCAATTACTGTTGTTGGACTAGTTATACCGATGCTACTATAACTAGCATTATTATCAAAACAGTCCTAATCACTTTTAATGGCTTGGCCTTAAAAAGAAGCCCATGCAAGGATGAATCCACATATTGTCAATGGATCTTTCCAATTATATGAAATGAATTCTGCCCCATTCTTGGGCTATGACACTGCTTGCTTTAAACATCCTATATCAAAATTGAGAAGCCAGCCATTTTTGCTTCCCTGGGAATGTTCTGCTTACAGCTGCTGCCTGATGCAAGAATTCAGCACACTTAGCAGTTGATCCAAAATTGTCAGAAAGTGGATAATGCCAAACGAACAAATTATTCTGGGTGTCTTGAATGAGCTGGGTGTGAGAACTGTGACTTTAGCCTCTTTGGACGCGCTAATTGTCATGGGCTGTAGTATGGGTGCCAAGCCATATAGCAGTTGAACAGCAGACAATGCAGTCATTTTATTATATGGCTTCAATTCTGATGACACTAAAACAGAATATTGATTGCCTTTCTTCCATTGCATTTATTTGACAGTTTTGAAATTGGAACCACTCTTCTTCCTACAAACATGCATTTATAGTGAAGGCTTATGATTTCAGAAGACTCCAAGAAGAATCTGAAGGGTTTTTTTGTCCTCATCTATGCTTATGATTAAATGGCTGTCTTACTTATCTGAAAATATAAGTATATTCTCTGGTATATGCCTCCACTCGGGGCAAAAACTATATCACTGGATTGTTGCTTTTGCTGGAAATCCACCAAAGTGATGTCCCAGGTAAAGGTCAGGACCCACTGGCTCCCAAGGCTATCTGCTTCTAGTAACTAGGGTCTCTGTGGGTGTAGATGCCTTTGTGCATCTGCCTACATACTATTGCTTCCTCACCTGCATTTTTTTTTAAGATTCCCTCACATATCAATGGATATCCTTTGAGTCCTGAAAGCCATAAAAATGTGGAACTGGGTTTTGGGGGTTTTTTTTGCAGCAGATGATTGATTGTTCCTCAATTGTACCAACATCCAATCCAGTGGGTTGTTTATGGTTGGTTGGTTTATTTGTTTAATTTAGCTTATCCTTTCTTCTTTGTATGGTCATTTCAAGTTTTTATCTTTCTTTGTCGCATCAATTGTGGCTAGAAATCTTTTTTTTTTTCCTGTCCTCTCCCCATTTATGTAAATCCTGGTTAAATCCTGGATGTTTCTTCTCTCGTGTGCTGATTTGTTCACTGTTTTGTATCCCTTATTAATTGTACTATTGGGTTTTTTTGCACATAACCATAGGAAAATAAACCACCATAACCTGCAATCTCTCAGTCAGGAAGTATTTTGAGGCTATCAAAGTGCCAAATCTGATCAAGCAATCTCTCCCCACCAATTATTATTTATTTTTTTTAAAATATCAATCATCAATTTCTACTCCACAGTGCAGACCCACAAGCCCTAAATAATGGGGCAAAATATTGTTGCCCAGTTAGCACTCTTATTCTTTGTGGACCAAACTGTAAGCACAGGGAAATATTAAAGATTGTCTCTTTCTATTTACACTGAACCTAGGAACAATAATAAAAATCAAGATGGTTTCTCTTCTAATATTCCAGGTGTGTTTTACTTGTGTTGAGCCTTATTGAATAATCTGGAGAAATGTAATAATCAAGATAATTTGTTTATTATGTGGGACCAATTAGAAAGCAGGATATAGGAAATAGCTACTTTTTTCTAAGGACCACTTGAGCCATTTGACCAGAAGCAATTGTAGAAAATAATCTAATCATCTTTGTTTTGGCATAGTAGTACTGTAATAAGGATAGGCTTTATATTGCCATAAAGTCATATGAGCAAGCAATAATCAGAACACCTCTCCTCCACCTGAAGGAAAACTGGATTGGAAATCTTATCATCCAATCACATGTATATTATTATTTTGTACTGTACTGCAATTTTTAAAATTCTGTATTAGCCATTCAGATCCACTGATATGAGATCTGCAACAAAGGGGACGGTGGATGGATGGATGGACATTTTTAATAACAGTCCTTGCTAAAAAGACCAGACCAGGGCTTATTCTTTTCAAAACGGGTTGGAGGAATAGACTTACATGAACAAATTAAATAGTAATATCATACTGAATTAATGGATTTAACTAGAAGGCACAAGGCTTTTATAGAAAAAGAAAGCAATTGCTTTGTCTTGATGCTTATATCTCAAAGCTTGGTTAATTTAACAGGAATCCCAGAGCTCATTTTCATGTCCCCCTAACCGTGGCACACACATGCCCTTATAACTGTTTTTATATCACATGCCACATAATATTTCTTCAGTCTAATTTCCAGCCTGTAGCTGAAGCGGCTTAACACTGCCTGTTGCTGTTCCAGTTTCAGAGTGATGTTCGTCTATCTTCTCTCTGCACAATTTGTGTCATGGACACAATTTAGCACTCCAAATGCTCTGCAGAGTCATCACCCTGCATAATGCCTGGCCATCACTTTTATGAGAAGCTTATCAGGTCTTCAAGTTAATTCCTTACATAAGCAGGAATAGCAGTCTTTCAAAAGAACACTAGACCTGTGTTTAAAGCACAGTACTAGCACTGCAGGTTGATTTTACCTGGGAGAGACAGATTTTCCCAGTTTTAGGTCTAGTTAATAATCAGAAATAATAACACCATGAAATTTGCAGGCTTTCCATTTCTTATGACAAGGGATTTCACACAGGACAGCAAAATATAGGTAGCATAGTTGGTTCAAGGACTGGTGGATTGCACTTTAATCTGGACATCTGACTGTGTCCCCCAAAAAATATATAGAACAGCATTAATTTTGTAGTGGTAAAAATGAGAAAGTTCTGTGGAATCAGAGTTGATTGAAAGGTGGGCGATATAAAAATTGTGGCTTCCAGGACAACAGTTTTTAATCAAAGACACATTATACCAAAGCTTTGCCTCTGCTCACTCAAGCTCCGACTTACACCCTCTCAGTGTCCTTGTGGCAGAAATGAAACACAAAATTCCCAATGTAGTCCTCTAAACATTTTGCCCAGTAAAATTTGATTTTCAGACAAGAATGGAAAGCACTAGGTGCTTTCATCATGGTGCTCAGCTGGCTTTGGGAGGGCAGATGATTGAGGAAGAATTACAGGTGGGAGGTGCAACAGGTGGAAGTGACTCACTACCAATATGATGCTTTCTCCTTGGTGATCAGGATGAATCTCATTATCATGCAATTCTATACATGCTTACTCTGAAATGACTCTGTTATAGTTTTCATTTGATGTACTCCCAAATGTACATATAAGCTTGCAGTCCAGCGGCAGTCTCTACCTCCTTAAAGTTCATGTACAGCAGCCACAAATTCCTAGCAGTATTCTTGCTTTCATCCAATTTCATTGCAAAGGAAAGGGTGAGAAGGAACCCTGCTTTCTTGATACAATTTGCAAAATATTTGAACTGGCGAGTAGCAATAGGGAATCTGGGCTTTATTAGGTGCCCCTCCCTTCTGATTCTATCTAATCAAGCAGAGTTTCCAGCATTTTCAGCAGGGAAAAGGAAGATTTTTTCATGAGGTCAGGAATGTGGGAGGCTGCTTCCTGGCTGCCTCTCAGACTCCTTCCTTGAGCTGCTCCATGAATTTGAATCTGCCCATGACTCAGTTAAATTAGTCCAAAGCCTATCAATCTATTGATCCACTCCTAGAAAAAAGACTCAAAGAAAAGGCCACCTAATTCCTAGCCAAGCCCTAGAGAGAGAGAGAACAGCAGCTGATAGTTGTGATGAGAAAGAGGTCCCTCATTTTGGTTTATTCTCCTGAGATTCCAGGGGAATCAGGTTTTGCTGATAGACACCAAGAAGACTGTGCCATGTCCAATCTTCATCTCCAAGACCAATGCTAATTCCACACTCTTCCCCCATTCCCAAACTGCGAAGCTTGAAATGGGAACTGAAGTGTACCCTCCTTCAGTTCAATCCAAATTGCTTTATTCCTCTACTCAACTAATTATGATTCTGTTTCTGACAGCAGATTTCTTTGGCAACATCCTTGGTATCTTCTGCTTTTGTGCTCCTGGAAGTACCCTGGTAGCCCCATGCCTTCCAGCCCGCCATCAGTGCAGGAGGGTGGGAGAAATGCAACTTTGGACCCTAGCAGTTATTACAAACTCTGGAAAGTTTGTGCTCCATCCATCCTTTAGCTGTAATTGAGGACTATAAGATTCCCATCAAAGAGTTCCCATTTTTATCTTCTTTGATTGTAAGATGTACAAATAGCCTGGGGTGGGGTGGGGGGGGAGAGATGCAGAGCAGGGCCATGGAAGAGAAAGAACTTTAAAGCATGCTTGGAGGGAAAACGTTGGATTAATTATATCACTTGGATCAGTAGTTTTAGTTTCACATTGCTTGCCTGCCTGAATCCTGATGTCTTCAGAAGTAGCTAAAAATCTGGCACCTTCAGCTGCAAGGGTGCAAGAACCCCAAGGCTGCTGAAAACTCCCATAGGAGGGAAGCAAATGAGATGGGGGGGGAAGTCTGAGTAAGCAGTTTTTGCCATTCTATGGTACTCTTTTAGTCGGGAGATCAGTAACGAAGAACAGAAACCATGCACCCAATACCAATAGATCTTTCTGGGGCAAGAGGGGAGCTATTTTTCACTAGATCTCCCATTTGTCCTATATTTATTTTTTTTATATTGGGTTCTTCGTTGTCCAAAATAAGGTAAGGAGATGGAAATGGAGACCTATCATCAATTTAACACCAGTTTCTGCCAGTCAGCAGGTAAAATAAGAAGCAAATTTTACAGTTATCCCATTGTTTTTGTTAGCAACTTGTGCGTGGACCACAAAAAATAGTAAAAT